TAAAAGAAAAAATGTCTTCTTTTTTTTTTTTTCAATTTGTTTCTATTTTGTGTAGTATAAAAATGTCAGTTCATGTTTGGCAAGACCTTCCACCCCAGAGAAGCATGGTTCAATTATAGCTTTTTTCAGATGTTTTCACTGTAACATTTGAATTGTCTAGTTTTTCCATTTTGTCATTTTGGTCTTCTATTTTTATTTTTCTCACAGTTTTTATTTATTTTCCTCACAATTTTTCCCCCATCTGTCCACAGTTGTCCTTATAGCATACATGCTCACATCTCAATGCTCTTTCCTTTAATTCTTTGCCAGTCTCCGTACTTAAATCCTTTCATTACTGCTAGATTCCTGCTCAGGATTCCTCACTTTCTCTTTGCTATATTTGGTCTCCGATGCTTTTCTTTTCAGCCCACATTTTCATCACTGCTTCTGTAGCTATATGGTGATACTGAATCATTCACTGTTATTTTTTTTAGATTTATACCAGAGGATGGGAGGAGGAGGTTATGCTAGGCTTTCTTTGGTTATAGGTCCAGGAAGATTCACACGGACAAAATTCTGTAGGATTTTCTTACTTATATGGACAACGTAGCTTAACTGAAGTGTTTGGGTCTTACAGATACCACAATAGAAATAGAGTATGAAGCAGAAATGAAAGACTGTTTTATTATTGGTAATAACACTTGCTGTCACCTTTTGGATTTAGCAGTATAACATCTGAGAATTTTTTCTCTTAGGATGAGAGACATGACAGATGTTAATATTAATGCTTAACTCATAGATATAATGTCACTTACTACCAATACGGAATTACATTTCAACCTGAGTCCTTGAATATATCCTTAGGTTTCTAAGGTATTATTTCTGGATAACACTGTCGTATGATTGTCATTATTGGTTGTAACTTGAAATATAATTCTCCTTAGAACTATCACTTTAAAATTGTTTTCTCTTTCTGTTGATAAGTACATGTGCTAAAAAGTGCATATGGGAGTGCTGCACTTCTCTAATGACTTCGGTGAGATTTCTAGGTGACCACTCAGATTTTAGTTTATTGTGGTAGTATTGGTGCTGAGGGAAAAAAGAACAACATCATACAGCGTAAGGCAGGACTGTGACTGTTTTCTTGCAATAAAGCTTAATAACACAGACTGTGTACATTACATAGCACTTGGCCTTGTAGCTTCTCTGGACCCTGTGTAGTACCCGATGGAGCTGAGATTTCACTATTGTGTGGCTTTTTCTCTTCCAAATTTATTTAATAATGTGAAAGTTGCATTGCAGCACAACAAAGCAATGTTACCATGTCATGAAAGGAAGTTATGTGCTGCAGAGTGTGTAGCACAAGGCTGTTTAGGGATGCTTAAGGATCTGCAGGCTGTTGGAATAATATTGAAGCACTGTGTAAAATGGGAGGAGACAAACCTGGTGCACTCTTGTCCATACTGTCTGCTCGGAAGGATCCCTGGTGTATGTTATTAACTCTGACTGTGACTGGGTTTTATCTGAGAGAGACCTAGTTGGCCCAGATCAATAAAATATCAGGGACGGTTCTAAAATTTAGTAGCATGAACATTTGGTGTTCCAGAGATCATACTTGTTCCCTGGCCTTGTTTTGTTTAACAACCTGCAACTGCAGGACATAAAAAGAGACACTGTTAGAGAGGAGCTCTGCTACTAATCTGTAACAAGTTCCATTTCAAGGAAGCAAAGCAATTAAAGTTGGATTCTGAACAACTAGAAAGTCAGTGGAGTTTTCATGCATATGGAGGCGTTGATGATGAAGCTTTCTTCTGAATGTAGAAAGGCAGAAGCAGCAGTCATCACCTTATATATATACTGTGAACATTAACTTATTTTTATGCAAAATATGTATTCATTTGAAGTTCCCTACTAATCACAGATATGTGCGTTTATTTCTGCTCTTGGGCTGAATCTAGTGCTTAATCTGCAACTGCTTTGGCAGCTGACAGGCAGACCAGCTGAAGGTCATTTTGTATTCTGTGGTGGTTTCCCTCTTTGAACCACTGAAGATTTTATCTGTGTCCTCCAGCAACATTAGAAAAGTTGAGAATGACAGTAAAAAAAAAAAAAAAAAAAAAAAAAAAAAAAAAAGAGTGGCAAATGGGCAAGATATTATTTATAAATAAGCAAGTGAAAGCTTTTTATGCAACATTATGTAGCAGAAAGATAAAACAGCTGCTTACCCCCTGATTATATGAATATATATGCTGAAAAATTAAAAGACATGCAGACAGTCTACCTATTTGTAATATGTGTTCAATAAGATTATTTGCTTGTTTTAGGAGTATTTTAAAATAGATTACTGAGATTGTTCATGTACTTCATTTAAATAAAATACATGTTAAAGAATAAGCTGGTCCAAATTTGTAAAATAAGACTTGGGACTTCTCTGTATATCTTAGAATTAGACAGGCAGAGCTTAGTAAAGCCTCCACGGGTAGGTGTAGACTGTAATTATGGTCTTAAGGCCACTGCTCAGTCTGCTTTAGGGGAGAGTTTTATTTATACAATAAATGCAATCTGAATTTCAGAGATATCAAACTTGACTTCTTCAATCAGTTGACTCAGTTATAACACAGGACACTTGGTTCCCTTTCTAGTTACAGAATAATGTGGAAATAATTTATTTCTTAACAATAATTTAAAAAAAATCATCATTAATGAGAATACCACAGAATGTTTTCATAAGGTTTCATAAACACAGATTTAAGCAATAAGGAGAACAGTGAAAGTTTAGCAGTTTTTAGAAATATGAAAGAAATATTTCTGCATGTCATATGCTACAGATATATAGTAATTTTCCACAACCCTATTGCAGAAGTAAATATTGATTTACTATATATCTTTTAATCACTTCTGTGTTGCATTTCTTCTGCAGGTGATTGAAAATACTTTTTTATTTTGCGTTTGTGTAGTAAGTAACTATAGAGAAAAGAGTATGTTTTATCATAGGTATTTTATAATCTCTATGGAAATATAATTTCCACAACGTGATGATCTTACTCTTTGTGAGATTTTTTTAGATGTTCTGTTCATCTCATTCTGGTTTCAATAGGTTTCTGTATATGGAATGAATATAAATTGTATTATAAGTGGCTGGTATCATGCCTCTAAAGAGGAAGGTGGCATGAATCTTGGGATTCAGTCATCAAAAGTACACCTTGACATCAATAAGTAGAAGAGGACTTCAAGGCCTGATGCAAATAAATAAATTAACACAAAACATATTTTGCACCCACTGTGAGTGATAACAATACTTAATATAACAAACACCATGCTGGAGATTTCCAAGAAGATAAGTAGGGAGGGTGGAGAAGAAAAGCTAATGAATTTTAATGCAGGGGAACCTGATGCTCGGTTCTTGGCTCAGCAGCAAGGGTGTCACTTCCCACTTCATATATATTTCTTGTGTGAAATCTGTTACCAATTATATTATGTTATGATATGCTGATGTGGGGCTATACTACCGTTTTTTTCTCAGTACCACTTATCACTGTGATAAGTGAGTAAAAAAGAACGTTTTAAAATTTGCCACAGAGCTTGACAGAAGATGCGGCATGAAGAGTAGTCATCTGGTAAACAGTTTGTATCAATTTTAAATACAAAAATTAACTTCTCCATTCAAATATGCATGTAGAAAGTAATCAGTCCCATGGCCTAAAATATGCCACACTAGCTGTATTGTTGCACTAGATTTTTACAAAGTGCCACAGACTTTATTTTTCCATAGATTATGATAAACGCATTTAATGCTGTACCTAAAGCATTAAGGAAATAGAATAAATTTTCCAGCTTGTTAAGAATAGGAAGAAGAAGCCCAGCAGACTTATTTTTGTACTTATCACCTCTGTGTTGTTAAAAATTCCAAACCCACAATCCCACAATTTGAAAACTGTGTGACTGTTAATCGTGGACAAACAGTAGAAGAGGAAAGCTCTTTTCTTCCAATTTATCTTCCTATTTCTCAGTGCCCACCTCTCCCTCTCCACAACCGCTCATTTCTCTGGTTTCTCACTGTCTTCAATTTTGTTTATCTATGGGCTCTTATTCAGGGGCCAGTACTTTTACAGTGGTGGCAACAAAATTAAATTTTACACATATGAATATATCTATTACCATAGCATTTCTTCCACTTCACTCTCTCTATGCCCCTTAATTTCTTAGATTTAAAGGGATATGGGTAGTGGCTTACTAACCTAATTAGTGCCTGTGAATGCTCTTGCAATGTGTGTGTAATAAGCATTACTATTTGAACTGACTGCAATATATGCCAGATGAACCTGTAGGTAATATAGTAGTGACAAAATCTCACGTCACATCTCCCATTTGCTTACTTACCTTTAACCTCTACCCGTTTAACATATGTAATATCTATTCTTTTCCCCTTCCTTTCCCTCTTCCCTTCTTCCTCCTGACCTCTCCACAGCATGGGTCTTTGGCCATTGTTTTCTACTTCATTGTTTTCACATGTTTTCTGAAAACGCAATTGATCTTTAAAACCTGTCACAAATAGTAAAACATTAAAGTCCTATTTTAACTTTTGCTAAAGAACATTTAACATTTTTTCTGAGAATCAAGAGGATTTTATGTTGTGGATGAATTCCACCACAGATATTCTCAGAATTGCAGGCATTTACATTTACAAGTGTCCATATACTGCCAAGAGCATAACATGGGATTAGGACACTTGCAAACTGGGTCCAAAATGTTTGTCAGAGTTCGTTTGTTCATTTAGACTCTAAGAAAAGTGCATGAAGTAATCCTGTTTATGTATTGCTAATTACTTTCCCCTGCCTCCTCTTTTTCCTTCATCGGCCGCAAATCCTGCCTGACAAATTTTAACTCTAGATTGTGCATTTCCACGGATGAGGACTGTCTAGTTAAGATGTCCCATGCTTCTACTCGATGGGAAACAAGCAGTCAATAAGATTTTTCATTTTTTGTTTCATTAAAATAATCTTCTGGTTTTGATATTGTAGATAATACAGCCAGTATCCTGACAAGACGGAGGAGATACAGTCGAACCACTCAGGATATCTATTACCTCCCAGTTTTGATTTCTGATGGTGGAGTGCCCCCTCTCAGCAGCAGCAGTACTCTCACAATTAGGGTTTGTGCATGTGAGAGAGATGGACGTGTAAGAACTTGTCATGCTGAAGCTTTCCTCTCCTCGGCTGGCTTGAGCACAGGAGCTTTAATCGCAATCCTGCTCTGTGTTGTAATTCTTCTTGGTAAGCCATTTTCAGTATTAAGTAATGCTATCCTTCCACTGGATCTCTCAATGTGACAGGACAGAAATTTCTAGTATGATATGGTTTTGAACCAGAGGCTGCCTGGTAATAGGAGGTAATTAGAAACACATAGATGTGATTAGGGAGGGAAAGTTCAGCTAAAATTAATAGGGAAAGATGCCTTTAAAGTACATTTATGAATATCTTGAATCCATTAGAAATTATTTTTCAGAGGTTATCAAGTAATTAGCACTGCAGATATTTTTTTCTGTAATTTGGAAAGATTTCAAAAAGCCACTGACTCTAATTCCATGTCTAGAACAGTGTGAAAAATGGTAAAAAAAGAGATGAGGAAAACTTTCTGAAGTGCATTACACTGTAAGAAGCACCATTACCACTCAACAAAAGCCAGTTCTTAATGTGGTATAAACTAATGGCAATGCACAGCATAATCCACAGTGCAAGGGACATTTGAGACTATAAAATTACTCCATTAGATAAATGCCATTGCAAGTACATTTTTTTTTTCTTTCCACCAGGTCAATTTAAATGTTACCCATTAGTTTTTTGGGGTACTTTTCCTGGCAGAAACACAACTTGCTAAGTACATACCTATGTACTACTCGTGCCTTTCTGCATTCTTGTAGAGACAGCAAGAAATAATGGGAATTGCAGCATGACCGCACGTAGGAGATTTCGAGGATTTTTTTCCAAAGGCTCTACATTTTCTAAGGACTACTTTCCTCACAGCTTACTTCAGAACTTCCTTGTCAGAAAGCTCTTTTAAAATGTATAGTAATACATTTCATTTATAAACTTATATTTTATCATACAAGACTGAATATTCACAAGAGAAGAAATAAACCTTTTGCATTTTAAATCAATATTTATGCTAAATATTGGTTTTAATGAAGCACTGGAAGCCATTAATAATGCTTCTGAAAAATGTCAGCCCTAGTTACTAATTTCTCATTTAACTGAAAGGATGTTATCCCCTTTTATATCCTTTATGAAGTCCCTAGTAATCCAACTAGTGGTTTTCACTGTTGGCTTAAAAGACCTCAGCAATCCCTGCAAAGAAAATATGCAGAAGAAGTGTGCTCTTTACTGACCCTTTGAAAGACTGGGCTGTATTGGAAGTTTGTAGTTTCAGTACAGCATTATTAATTTTCCCCTTAATTGTGTGGTCTCAGCCTGTTGCACTCTGGCATGTTGCTATGTCAAACACAGCTGTATGGATGTCGTGGGTGCTTTCCAGGCATACAGAAACCTATCTTCAGGTAACGCATTACACAACAAAGGCATTGCTCACTTTGGAATAGAAGTACACTGTTTTCAGACTGGACAGGTTTGGTGGCCCTTTGTTATAGACACATTAGACCTGATGTATTGATCCCAAATAACAATATTAGCCTGAAAATATTTCACCTCTGTATTCATGACATAGTATCTGTTATTTCTTTAGCATATATTTACTTACCTCAGATGTAAAGTTTAAACCTACTCTAATATCTGCAGTTTTCTCTTTAGCAATTGTGGTCCTTTTCATCACCCTAAGACGCAGCAAGAAGGAGCCCTTGATCATTTCTGAAGAAGATGTCCGGGAAAATGTTGTGACATATGATGATGAGGGTGGTGGAGAAGAAGACACGGAGGCATTTGACATCACAGCGCTGCGGAATCCATCAGCTGCTGAGGAGTTAAAATACCGGAGGGATGTTCGTCCTGAAGTGAAGCCTGTGCTCAGGCATCATCCCTCCTCAAGCCTTGACAGTATAGACGTTCAGGAGTTCATTAAACAAAGACTGGCAGAAGCTGATCTGGACCCCAGTGTGCCCCCGTATGACTCCCTACAGACATATGCCTATGAGGGTCATAGATCAGAAGCTGGATCTATCAGTTCTCTGGATTCAGCCACAACACATTCTGACCAGGATTATAATTACCTTGGAGACTGGGGACCTGAATTCAAGAAGCTAGCTGAACTCTATGGGGAAATAGAATCAGAAAGAACAACTTAGTTGTAATTCCCAGAGCAGAGAAGTTCCTATACAACTGGAGATATAATGACAGCAACAGTAACAAAAAATGAATACAGTACTTGGAACTGAGCAAGTTGTACGCAGTTACTGTAGAACAAGTGCCCTTTTCATATTTGAAACTGGGTTCTCCAATTGGAAGAAAGTCAAATTTTGAAAAATACAGAAAAAAGAAGCTATTGTCCCTTGTGTATATTTTTTAATTGCTCAATAAAGTCCGTGGTACCATATCTGTAATAATACCTGAAGTAAAGCCAAGCAATGACATTTTTATTGCAATATGCTTAACACCTCTAAGCTACAGTAAGTTTATGGTCATGCCTGTTTAGGAAGATAGCTAATGGAGGAGCAAATCTCTTGCAGGTGGTTGTGATGTTGCATTTCTAGCTGTTCTGTAGGCCTTGTGATCCCAATGTGAGGTAGCCAAAGGGGTTTACTATCAGTGTGAGAAGTGCTAACAGTCTGTTTCCTTCACAGAAGGGATAAGCCACACCTGTCCTCTTAAATAAATGGTCCTTTGATGATTTAATCTTATTGAATTAGCAGGTTGCATTGAGATGATGTCATTTCATTATGTCCTTCATAATATTTTCATCCATAACCAGCTAACAGAGGGAGGATATCATTAGCTGTTAGCTCAAACATGGCTCTAGCCATCACTGGAGCCCTGTTCTGTTACTGTGTGCTAGAGGAACTGTTGTGCTTTTTCTTTTTGTCTTTTCATGGGAACATCATTCATTTAAATGGAATGGGCCCAAAGTACTCTCTATGCAGCAAAGCAGATGAAGCATAGGCTCTTTCAATAAAAACAACAATGGCAGCACCATTAAACTATGCAGTTGTTTGGTTCACTGTGCTTCACTTATGTCAACAGATGAAGCTTTTCAAGTCTTTTGCTGGTCTGAGTCCAGGAGCTAAAACAGTTAGTTTAAAACACAGAGTTCTTAACCATAATGTCTCTATTTCCGTGTGTGACTAAAAGCAAAATACAGCTGCTGTAAGACACTGGGACAGCAAAAATTGAAACAAAAGGAGTAAGATGATGTTGCCTTTTTCTTTTTAGTTCAGTCTACGGGTATTTAATTTCCCTTAGAGTAATTTATGTCTGAGAAAGTTTTCTATTTCTATTTCTATTTTCTATTTTCATCATTTTAAGTCAGTGGAGGAAGAAAAAAATAAAGTGTATCATTACTGTGGTTCCTATGTATTAAATAAGTTGATTTTTGTGTTAATAACTTTTTAGCCTTGCAGAACTGCTATACAGTTCTGCTTAACATTGCAGGCTGCTTAACACCTAATCCAGGAGATTCTTATGTTTTCCTTTGTTTGTTTGAAACTTTTAACCTTTTGTTTGTCTTTCTTGTGATAATACTGTGAGAGAACCAGGAGCTCATAATATCCCATGAAAAATTATGACTTACAAGGCTCACCATCTATTACAGCTTTCCGCTTCTAAGAAAACTGTAGCTCTGCTTAGGAAAGTGGACTTCTTGCAATATGTGTTTGATAGGGAAACTATACTGAGCAGAAGCTGTGTACTTTTTTTTTACTCTCTGGGCTGGTGTGGAGACTGATTCAGATCCATGCACTCCACTAGATTCCTCCCTTTGTTTTAGGTGCCACTTACATTCAGCTTAGTATAGAAGGGTCTGTCTTGCTGACCTACTGTGGGCCACACAAGTGAACCACATTATTAAGCCTTCCTTTCTTTACTGTATGGTTGGGTAGGTCCTAGATATGACTGAAACTTCTGATCAGCTCTGCTTTGAGGTTGTTTTTTTTAATTTTAAATGCACAACTACATCTTGAGATGTAGTTGACTGCTTTTGGTTTAAACAGCCTTCTGGAAAAATTAGCAAGCAGCTCTGTAAAAAACTTTTCAAACTCTAAAAATGTTTTAGTTGCTCTGTAGTCACAGAATTGTTTTTTACTACACTGTTTTATTTGCCACTTGAAAACTAACATTTCCCTTTCTGTCAACATCTGAACCCATGAGGCAATTTAGAGGGGAAAGAAGCCCTAACCCTACAATGTTTTGATTAAGATTTGAAAGTACTTTAATAATCTGTGTTCAGATTTATTTTTTTTTTTTAAGTTTTACCAAATAGAGAATCTTCTAGAAATGCATTTAAGGAGAGATTCTCATTATAGAGTAAAGTTAAATGTATGCTTTAATTTAGTAAGAGTTATACTCAATTTTAGAATGGTTCATGTATTGTCTTTTTTGGGGGGGTAGAGTTATGTTTCAGTTTTGTCCCAAATGAAGCAACTAGTAATGCAGGATTTTATGAGGAGGAATTTTCCTTTGATTTAGATCGTACTTGATTTATGCTAACATCTAAGTTTTTATATTGTATAAGTAGAGTGCTAAAATGTAAATTTTTCAGCATTAGTAGTACCACGGTCCATAATATTTTGTACCACATCTGCATAAAAACTGCATTCATTGTTGTATTACAGTTTTGAGAATCAGGTATTAGTTATCTTTATGTCTGTTCCCTCTGGCCCTACACAGAAGCAGGGAAAATCAGTTGTATTTTGTGCTTTAAGCAGTGTTCCCACCTTTTTTTTTTTTTTTTTATCATAGAACATTCAGGTGTAAAGCCAACAGTGCAGTGACATAAACAAGTCACTCCTTACACTCATGTTCTGATTAAGCTAATGAGAGAAGGAGGTTATAACTTAGAGAAAGGAGTCCCCTTTTCGCCATTCCTTATGCTCTCTTTGCTGCTGTATGTGCATTGTACCCACAGCCCCAGGAAATTCTGAATCCTTTAAAACTCTTCAGGGTTATTGAGACGCTGCTTCAGTGATGCTGCAGTGTGTCCCATTTGATACATCCTATCCACAGTGATGGCCAAATGTGCTTTTCTATCATGATACATCTGCATGCTTTCTATGCTTAATGTTTTTTACTCAAATACACATCACAGTGCTGTGTTGTTTGCATGACAAATAGCAGAATATTAAATCTTCAGGGCCACAGCAAAGGCCTCATGGTGCAGAAAGAACAGGTTTACAGATTGCTTTCCTGATCCCACAGATTTTTCCTTTGGTCCTTTGTGCTCTAGAAACAAATTTAAACTGTACTTGGGAATTTCTATGTTAACATTGATTAAACAGGAAGAAAATTAACACTGCCATGGAGGGCATGATCATTTTGTAGCATTACTGATTTAAACAAAGTATACATTCAGTGAAATATCATGGGAAACTCTTTCCTAGTTTATGGTTAAGTCTAATTGTATAGACTTTGCTTAAAGCTTTCACAGATCTTTTGTGTACTCATATTCTCCAATATTTTCCTATTAGACTAGATAATCCTGTTGCTCTTAACAACTAAATGCTGAAAACCATCGGTTTTACTTAAACTGGAAGATAATAAGTGAAATTAAATGGTACATACAAAGTGGTGCTTAAGGGCTTTCCGATTTACAATTTTATTTCAGCAACAGCTATTCAACTAATAGTATCATTACACCAAATTAGTCGCATTCCTTCAAACAAACCCTCTTTCTCGTAATGGTAAGGGCACTCCGTATGCTGTTATCTTGACATGTCACCTGAGAACATGATCTGTATAAATATTTTACAATGTGAAAATATATTGTCAACCTACAAACAGTCCAAAATGTGATTTAATACGCTTTAAAGAAATGGAAGGGACTGAATTTAACTGGCATTAGATTAAGTTTCATATATTAAAAACAAATTAATTTGTTTATCGGTGTTACCATTTACTACATACACATATAGACTGTAAAAGTTGAAAGTGATTTCACTGTTATGCACTTTATTTTTTGCATTCTTCTTAGAAAACCAAAATAATTGTAAACATTTTTGGGTTTGAATTCTAAATGATGCAGTTGTTTAAATTGTGAATACTGCAAGAAAATGTCTATATGAAAATATTCTCACTGATATTTATAAGGAATTACAAAATTTCTGTGGTCTAAGGCTTTGAAAAATCATCCTTTAGAAAATCTAAGAATTGGATCAGCCTGGAATTAACTGAACTCATAGACTCACACAAAGGATAACAAAGGAAATATTCTAAATGCAGACAAGAATATGAAATTATGCTGCCTAGGGTTAGTTTGTGGTTTATAAAGTGCTAAGACCTTGTACTTGCAGTACATACAAATGGCACAGTGCATTCTAAGGAACATTAGGAGCGTGTTGCAAGTATTGGGCCATCCTTATTTTTCCAAAGTCTCCAAAAATATATATATTTTTTTTAACAAGAGTAATGTAAAGTATACCTCCTTATGCAAGTGTTACTGATAGAAATTGTTACATTTTCTTTTAATAAACAAAAGGGACAAAATCTTTTATTCGTATTTTTCAAATAAAATATGCTCTTTGCTATGGTGATGGGTTATTGTATTCCTCATCACTACTAGAACGGGTCATTTTCTCTTTACTCCTGTATTTTATACTCACCAAAGCAATACAACTATCTATCTTTAGATTCAAATGCTATACAGCAGTATTAATGAGGTCACTGTCAGAAACAGTATGGTAACTTTAACTAGATTTTAGTACCTGGTATAGTCTCTCAGTTGTGTCACTATCTGAAAGACTCTTACATGATTATGGGTACAGATGGGTAGGGAGAGAGAGAGACACTGAGAGATACTTTGCAACAGACTGCAGTATAACTGCTAAATGGTTCATTACTTTTACTTGTGGCCACTATTCTACTCCAACCATCACTGTCTTGAAACTGAAATACAGCGTTATCGGATGAAAACATTATCCATATGAGTGAGTTAGGGAACTGCACATCTGTGAATCCAGATTGGTGGTAACAGGTGGGGTTTTATCCTAAGTTGACACAAAATAGAAGAGAAAAAACAGGCAAGGACATTCACAATGATCAAGCTCAGGCATAGGCAAAGCAAGTGCACAGGAATCACTCATTCTTTCTCAAAAGAACTAACAGACTTTACCAGTAAATTACATCTTAGAAAATACTGATACCGTGGCTCACAAGGAACTTGTGTCATGCAAGACCTTCTTTCCCAGACTGACATTAAATTCAAAAATAAGCCAAGGTTGACACAAAATGAAAACACAATTTTGTTATAGTACCGTCCTTGCTCTACTTCATTGCCCACAGACAAATTTAGATTGTGTACCACCATACTATGCAATTTCCACATGTGCCTCAACACAGCCCTGGAAACAAATTATTATGGTAAGACAATCTTTAAAAGACAAATACTGTTAGACTCAATCCAGGGGAGGAACTAGTGATTTTGTTGTTTTTGTTTTGGTCCTCATTTGAGGTGTTTAAACTTTCTAAAGAACATTTATAAAGACTTTAGATCATCCTTCATATCTAAGATACATTGAAAGGTGGTGGGTTTTGTCTTAGCAGAGTTTATTATCATATTATTGTTAAATTTTAGGTTGCTTGAGGTTCAATACTACTCCTATACATGTCAAATGTATTAAATTACATTTATGTACAGGGAGTCTTTAAAATCTAGAAAGCTTTTTTAGTGAGTTTAGTAGACTTCTGTGGGCTTCATGATTCTGTGTAACAATTTTGTGTTGGGTAACTCCCCACAAATCCATCAATACATGTCAACCTTTAATTAATCAAGAAAATCCTGAAGATCCAACAAACGTTTTCCACCCTAGCTGCTTCTAAAGTTGGGTTGTTATGGAAGTGCGTGTAATAGAACATAGTATAGCTGGTGGGTATTCGGTATCTGCAGAAACATCCTCAACTAACAAAGCAACCTTCAGAGGGAAAAAAGAAACTGGGATTTGGACTCTTAGAGGATCATAGGGCACATAGAGCTTGAAGGTATTCTATCCCTAGTGAAGCCTGAACAAAATCAGGATCTGTGGGACCTTCATAGTGGACCTTGTCATCATACATGTTCAGCGTCCAAATAGGTGATGAACTCAATGGAGAGAGTTTAAATAGGTGAAAGGCTAACATATCTGAACTGTCATGTCTTCTGCTAGAGTCCTGGATAGAAATGGATCAGTCTTAATGCATTTGCCAGGTTACAGTGTGAAAACAGTTCTGAGGCATGCTGCAGTTCTAACACCTTTACCTGCCACATTAACTGTTTTGAAACAAATTAGATTGCTCTCGACTTTACATTGTATATTGTTTTCTTAAAATCTGAATTAATATCCATGTTCCATGTTTAAAATTCTTTCCTGTATCTTCTGGAACTGATGTGGGGACAAAGCATCTACAAATAAAATTCAACCCTGCTTTTAAGTCTCAAGCACAACATATCTAACATCCAATTTAATATAGGATTTGGGTTGGGGAAAAATCAAATACTTGTTGTGTACAAAAGGTAAAGTTCACTCTTATTAAGCAAACTCATTTTTTTGTTAGTTTAGGTCTATTCATTTAAAACTATGCTTGGAGTGTAAGTGTATATTCAAAGATATACATCCTGATTATGTCATGAAGACAACATTTCAATTTCTCAAAAAAGTAAAACCAGCTCACTATCTGTACTATTTACAATCTCTTTGAACTTACTCTTTTTAATGAAAATTTAATTTTCCAGTTAGTTTTAATATTTTGTGCTACATAAATTTTCAACTGGGAAATGGTAACATGGAAGAGAATGGAGAATGGAGAATGACTCAGGAATTAACATCTTTTTAATCTCTAGTTGCTATAGGTATTAAAAAAAAAAAAAAAGACTAAAATTGTAAACATATTTATGAATCAAATTGGATTATCAGCTTGAAAGGCAAGTCACTTGCATATGATGTTGGTAATAAAAATAACAATATTATTGTTCTTTTTTTTTTTATCATAAAGTATCAAAACAGAAATTGTGGTGCCACTTCTTCTATTGTATATCTCTAAAATATGTCAAACCTGATATATAAAGAGAACATCTCTGTAAATGAGGTGTTTGTTAGTTGTTTTCTTTATCCCGAGACTGAGATTTTTTTTTAAATAGTTTCACAGAGAGGATTTGTCTCATGAAGGATGCCGAAGTATTCTTTAAGTGTTAACTGAGTTATATAACTGCAAATGTAGCATCCAGTTTTGTGTGAGAGAGAAGGAAATGAAAGCCAAAGTAAACCTCTCAAATCTTGCACATGGGACACAAGCTCAGACTCTTTAAGCAGATCTAAAATCACCACCTCTTAAGCAGTCTATCCTATGTAGTTATTGAAAAATGAACAAAAAAAAAAAACCAAACCACACACACACACACAAAAAAAAAAAAAAAAAAAAAAAAACAAAAAAAAACCCTCTAGCACTTACTTCATCCTGTGTCCATGTTTTCCGAATGATCATTTCAGGTATCTCTAGCATGCCTTTTTCAATAATATTTTACTGTTTCAGTAACACTCAATATTTTTTTGAAAAATTTCTTCTTCTAATTTCCTCAGAACATTAAGAAGTCAATTCTGTTGAATTTGATGGAAAGTCTAGCAGAAGAATTGCTCTTTGACCAAGTTCAGGATAGAACTTCTCATCAAAATCTCCAATCTTTGACCAATCAATAACTGATTGGTCAAAGGACTTTAGCAGGGATATGGAAGATTGGCTTCAGAGCAGGACATTAAACAGGGATCTCCCAGTTCAACTATTCCTTGATCATAATCTTACATTACAAATTTCAGCTAATTTTTACGAATTGCTTAATGAGTATTTTTGGGTAAAACATCATTCTCATTTTCCGTCCAACTCTATGGGGCTAAGTGATCCTAAAAACACGAGTTATTGTTCACTTTATATCCTCCTTTAGTGTTTCATGTAGTTTTCATTCTTTTCTACCTCCACCAGCCCCCATTTTGTGCTGAATGCTTGAAGTACTCTAGTACCATAATTTATCTTAAACAAGTCAGGGGACTTTAGGAATAAAACTTCATGTCCCTGAAAAAACTGGAAATACTTATCTGATGCCAAAAGTACTAATCTTTATTTTTTACTCTGGGGCAAACATTTTAATTGGACATTATCACAGCTGAATTCCTTACCTTTTTCCCATGCATAGTAATTTGAAATTCAAATCAGCTTCTATGATACCTTCAACAATCTTGGTGTTATTAAGCATTTATACTGGCCAAGAACCGAGTGTCCTAGGTCACATAGAAAAATGACATTATTTGCCTAAGGAATTTCTGGCTTAAAAGATTTCTGAATCCAATGTTGCAAAGCAAAGACTTGTAAGGGAGGGAAGGGGATTATAGGAAGTGTGAAGAGCAACAGAAGGGTAGTAGAGTAGATATCAAATATCACAGGGCAAATACAATTACTGGTGAAATGATTAGAGGTAAGTCATACAATCAATAAAATACATAGTGATAACAGATTTTTCAGAATTTATTATTATTATTATTATTATTATTATTATTATTATTATTGTAAAACTTTATGCATTAATATTGCAATATTTTATGACTATTTCCATTACAGGTAATAAAATCATGAGTTATGTGTGATATATAATGGGGATAGACTATGAAATTCATAAAAATATTACAGTGGAAAGAGAAATATATTTTAAAGTTATTGATCTATTTATATTTGTGTTTGTTTATACTATTCAGCTAATGCTAATTTCTGTTGCTGATATTGTAAATACCCCACATTGCTGGGTCAGTCATGTCCATGCAAATTCCCACTGGTACACTTAGGTTTTTGGCTTGCTGGTTTTACATATGGATTTTGAAAATATTTATTTTTTTCTGAAGGAAGTTTTGGACTGTACTTTTGTAATGAAAAACTGATACAATTTCCTCACTTCTAGAGTTTTAATATTTCTGATAAAGATTACACACTGCAAGAACAGTCACAATAGCTACACAGAGGGCTGCAGGTGGAAATGGTCTTCTATCTGCTTACAGGAATCTATTATTTTTGCCTAGTTTTTATCCACAGAAAATATTGGCAGAGCTCACAAGATCTATCTAAGCTTTATCCCTACAAGAAGGAATTGAAAAGGGAAAAAACTTGTCTGGCTTGGACCTTCAACTTCTACACTGGCTTCTCAACTGTCATGTTAGTGAAATGATAATTTTTGAGTACATACAAAAAATGCACTATGCCAATGGAAAATTAATTGACTTTAAGTGATCTTACCCCTGTACTTAGCACCGGTGAGGCCACACCTCGATTCCTGTTTTTAATTTTGGGCCCCTCACTACAAAAAGGACATTGAATTACTAGAGTGTGTCCAAAGAAGGGCAATGAAGATGGTGAGGGGTTTGGAGCACAGGTCGTACGAGGAGTGACTGAGGGAACTGGGGGTGTTTGATCTGGAGAAAAGGATGCTGAGGGGAGACCTCATTGCCCTCTACAACTACCCGTTTCTTTCCAGA